GTTTAACCATCAACAGTCACATTATGCGGTATGCAAAATATGGTCCAAAAAATAGTCTCTCTAACTTTTTCCTTGAGTTAATCCTTTTCTTGATACTTATTATTAGGGTCGTGTTATATATATATATATATATATTTCCCTTATTGTAAGACAAATATCTTAGATTCAATTATCATCGTGGATAACTTCAAATAAAATTATTATCACTAACTTATTATAAAACTTAGTCCACTGTCTATTTCTATTGTAAATAATATTGTACGTATTGAAAAAAGATTCTCTCGTCAGTTTTGAGAAAATTCTTAAACTGGACTAGTAGTTAATTTATTTTCTAACCTTTTTGTTTTTTGGGAAGAGATAAAGAAATTGATCACTTTTCAAGTGGTGGAAGAATTTCGAGGTCATTCACATCCAAAAACGTAACTAGCGCAGATTTTTCTGGAAAATGATCATCTCCATATTCTTTTTTTAGGATTTTGTAATCGTGTTTATTCATTGTACATGATACGGTCAGTTTTCATTAGATGTCATTTATATTTGAATTTTAAATTTTAAAATTTAAATGATTTTTTACCGTACGATGTACGATGAATGAACATAATTACGAGATTCCAAATATCCTTTTCCGATTTTTCTCTTTATTTTCATATAAAATATTAAACTATTTTAAAAGAAAATGTCAAATTTTAATTAGAATGTCATGTAATAAATTTGAAGGTAGATATAAGTTCTAATCGATATGTCAATTCTACGTAGATTGACATACCTATTATGTGATGCCAAATTTGACATTGGATAAAATCTGATGCCAATTATTTTTGAAATGTTTTCTTGTGTGGGTTCTAGTAATGCACCAATTATAAAACATGAAAATTAGTTTTTATTTATTTGTTTTGAAGAGTGGGTCCTACAAATATTAATTGAATAAGAAAAAAAAACATATGAGTTGGAAAAGAAAATCAAATTTGAAAATCAAATTTACATTTGATTTTTTTTTTAAACCATCTCCATTGCAGATGCTCATATAATTCTGTTAAAGTGTGCATTAGATTTAACTTACGATTAACCGTTAGTGATTGTACACAATAATTTTTACATAATGCATAGTGTTAATTTTTTTCTTTTCTTTTCTTACTGTTTGGACCCATTTGCATACACTCAGTCCATATACTTTTAAGCTATTAGATGAAAGAAGTATTAATTATCCTAACCATTTCATCAACACACCTGCAATTTAGGAGCATCTTCAATTTGGATAAACATGATTGCTTCTAGTTGATTGGTTATCTATCCAAGACTTAGCCAACAATGAGTTTACAATTCTTACGCTAAATGAGGTCACTTCATTAGCTCCCCAATGAATTGAGGTGTTCTATGATTGGTTAATCTCATATGCACTTCAGAGTTTGACATTCAGACGGACAAACAACATGCACCATAAAGGCACCCATTTCCTTTGAGTATCTTTGTACCTACAACCTGATATCGATTTGGCACACTTATATTCTCACAAATATAGTTGAAGCTGCCAAACTTGATGCAGAAGATGAACTTTGCAGTGAATTAAGTGACCTTGTTTTTAGGTTCAAGAACCCTAGGCCGACAGACATTCCTTCCTCGACCATAGTCGCTTAGGTGTAGAAGTCAGCAACTCGTTCGACACCACACCACCACATTTATTCTATTTGCCCAACCGAGTTTGATTGCGAGTTGGCACGCCTGTATTCATAAGAAAGACATAATTAGCTCAGTAGTTACTCAGCATACTTATGCTTTGTAAGTTTTAAAGTTGACAACCATAGGGACAGGAGAATACGTGTGGTGAAAAAAGGACAATAATTGTGTAAACATATAATACATAAGCGATAAAAAAATAATGTTAAAATAATTGCGCAAAAGAAGATGTTAAAATAGACTATGAGCATGTTCGTATTCTTTTTTTTTTTTTGGGTCAAAGATGTTCGTATTCAATGAGTAGACCACACCAAAGCAGAACAAGAGCAGGGAACCCCGCAGGCTTATATGGTATATTGCCCTATATTTTTCTAATGATAACAAGAATCCAACCAAAAAGATAAGTAACAAGTTACAATATTATAAGGTAATAAGCACGTTGATGCATTAGGACTATCTAGATTGGAATGTTATATTTTTGGATTATACATGAGGACTATAGATTCAAATATGATGGGCTTGATTTTGTGGATAATATAAGATCTTATTAAATGCACGCTTAATTTTGACATTGATAGATTATCTGGTAGTTTAATGTTGATTTGAAGCTACAAGGGGTTACCCACTAGTGAGGGTGGGTGTAGGGTGACGAGTGTGATCGAGCATGCTTGATTTAGGGTTTGAAATCTTCCTATGCAACCAAATAGTAACTAGCGAATGACTTCAGAAACGTAAATAATAATGGAACATATTGAGATTAGATTGTTTTGATAAGGTGCATATAAAACCGCGAGTAATAACTGGCGAATAATGAAAATGCATTGAACTAATTGATATTTTAGACTCGTTGATAGTGTTTATTTTATTTTTTTTATAAATATGTCATACAAATCAGTCGTGTGATGATTTTTTTATGAATATTTCATATACTTACTTATCTGAATCATATCAAGGGGCAAATATGTTGCTTACAATAACAATACTACTCATAGTGATTTCCTTAAACAAGTCCAAAGAATAAGAAATAGAAAGAAAATAATCTAAAGAAGTTCGATTATGGATACATTTCCTTCGTTGAGCTTAGAACTTAAACTGTGCTAGTCATATGATTTCTTAAAGAACAAATACACGCTATGCTTAATTAGGAGGATAACTGGTCTCATGTTATTTGTTTTGGGGACACTAAGATGAATTGTGTAAGTGGTCAATGAAGATTGAGTACACTAAACATTATCAATTTAGATATGGCATATGGAATGATAAATAAGATCTCTAAGTTGCAATAATGTAAATTGATCTTTAAATTTGAGATATCATCGTTGTCTTATTAATATGTTGTTGATCTTTGATACTATAGTCAGGTTCAAAAGGATACATCTCTAAGTGTCGTTCAAAAGGATGCATCTTTGATAATACTTAGTTTACGTAATTGTGATATATTGCTAGGTCTCATTTACACCCTAATATAAACCCTAAAGATTATAGATAATGGTTCACGATAAATGGGAAAACTTAAAGGGGTTTAAATTCACAATTGATTCATAAAAAGCTTCTAATCGCTCACCTGCTTCGCTAATTAGAACTCTTTAACATATCGCCCACCAACAAGAGTATCCTTTAAGACAACGACAGAGGTGATTAAGTCAGTTAATGCAGGGATGTCAAATGTCTAGGTTAAGAATATGTCGACTTGGGTAAAACAAATTTTTGGTTTCTTGGTCCATTGATATTAAATCCATTAGGCTTGTAGCATAAGTTGAACAACTTAAATAACACAACCCAAAGCGTAATGTTAGGGAGACTAAATTTGTAAACTAAACAATGTGTCACAAATAGGAATAAGCACGTTTATTAACGTTTAAGTAATCAATCAATCATCAATTCCATGTCCTTTAGTTTTCAAAACTTTGTCTCCAAATTTAGTCTCTATAGCATTATCCAAACTTGAAAGACTGAATAGACATCTACGACTGACAACACAAGAAATAGGCAAACAATTCACATACGTATTACCAAACCTGAAAGACTAAATAGACATCTACGACTGACAACACAAGGAGTAGGCAAACATTTCACATAAGTATTACCTCAAGACAAAGGACATTATGCCGAATGAGGATCCTCTCCGGATCCTCTTTGTGAAGATCTCAAGATCTTCAACCACATCCGTTTATTGTATATCTTACGGTCAGTTTTCGTCATGTCCTGTTTATATTTAATTTTAAATAAAAAGATTTACATTGATATTTGATCGCACGATATACAATGAACGAATGTGATTAGAGAATCTCCAAGATTCTCACCTCTATGCCTACATCTTCTTTTAAGACTCTTAGTTCATCTTAAAGGCTAGATTGGTTGATAAGATAACATATTAAACTGTCGTTGCTCTTAGTTCATCTTAAAAGCTAAATTGGTTGATAAGATAACATATCAAACTGTATTCAACGAGATACATGCCTAACGAATGACACAAATCCATTAAACTAGTTAACAATTACATTGGCCGATAAAATAATATATAACATAACATATCAAACTATTTGAAAATGAGTCACATTCTCGGCTCTCCCACTTCTCTTATGTCTGTTTGTGTGATCAGAGTTAAGTCACATCAACATTTTATATTACTATTTTTTTATCTTATTATCTTTATTAAAAAATAATATAAAATATTGACATGACTTAACCATGATCACACAAAACAAAAGGACACAGAAGGACACAGGAAATTAGAAGGCAGATAATCTGCTCTATTTGAAAAATAATAGCAATATGAAAAAAAACTCCTCTTACTTTTGTATACTAACATTAAAAAAAAAAAGATTTTTCAGCGTGACCGTCACATGAGGTGGTACATCACATGTCATTATACAAATGATGGGATATATGTGTTAAAAAATTAATAACTTAAATCGTCAGTTATATAAAAACACGTAATGTACCATTCGTATTTCTGTCCGAATAAAAAATTTCTCTACATACAGGAGAGTGAAGTGTGGGGGTGGGATGGGGGGATGGGGGATGGGGGGGGGGGGGTAAAAGTGTGATATTTCCATGGTGTCTATAATTGTCAACAGGGTGAGATTGTCGTGTAGTGGGACAACATGGGCCGTGTGAGATTGAAATTAAAGAGAAAGAAAGAGAGCAAAACAGACAATTGAGAGGGGCAATGACCACGATAAAAATCAAGGATTACAAAATTGAGAAGAAAAGAAAAGTTGATAAAATATGACATATGAGGGTGTAGGGTAGGTACAGGATAGGACAGCTTTGTATTGTATTTCCTTTGTTTATTTTACAAGACGAAAAACCACCACACACTTCCTCTCTCTCTCTCCTACTTTCTCTTTCTCTCTCTATCTGTATCTCTTTCTCTCTCTTCAAAACTCTCTTTAACGCATATTCACAGATGGGAGGTGAATCGGGGGTGTTTAATATGGTACAAACCCGCTTTATGGAGAGAAAGAGAACCTGATGCCCTTTTTGATGTGTGAGTGGGTGGTCCTGTTTTTCTCACTTCTCTCTCTCTCTCTCTTCCTCTTTCTCCCTCTAGAGTTGCATAGTAGTCTTCAAAGACTTCATCTTTTCTTTCTCATTTCTCAGTCGGAACCAACCCAGAAAAAAGAGGCTTCAAAACCAAATAATCCCATCAGCGCTGCGATTTCTTTGATCTTGGGTTTGTTTTCTCTTCCTCAAAAACTGCATCTTTTTTTCGTGTTTTCTTTGACCACTCAGTATGTTCTTGCTTGCACAAATGGAAACAAGATCAGAATCTGGTTGTGGGATTTAAACTAGATTTTGTTTTCTCAGATGTGTTGGGATTTAAACTAGATTTTGTTTGGCATGCTCAAAGATTTGGACTTTTTTGTAAACCTCCTTCTCTTACTCACTCTACTTGTTGGGGTTTTGTGGGATTAATTTCTTGTCTAAAAAAATTCTTCTTTTGGGGAGCTCATGAATCATGATCTCTTGCTTTTGCAAACTTCAAATCTTTTGTGATTTTGCTCTAAGGAGATTGGATTGGTTGTTCAACTATGATAGCAAGTGGATTGTTGATTCTAAAGTCTCAAAATTTGAGAAATATTTCCACATAAAATATCACTCCCAAGAACTTTTAGACTCCAACAAAATTGAATATCTTTGCTTGTTGAGTTTTGTTATTTGCCTATTTTGTTCTTTGCTTGCTCAATTGGGTTCCTTCTTGTTTTGATTTTTCTTTTGAAAAAAATATTTCAAATGCTTTAATTTCACTCATTCCCATCACATAAAATAACGTTTCTGGAAGGGTCTGGAGTATTACTAATAATAATCTTCCACCTTGTTCAAAGTCTGGGATCTTTCCCCAAAACCCCATGATCTCATGCTCCTTTTCATTTCTCTCAATTGCAGATTGATGTTATGGATGAAGATTCCAGTGGGGTTGTTTGATTTTTCATCTCTGCTGCTTTCTGCTAGTGTTTCTGGTGCTGCTTGGAGTGAACAGTAATAGTTCTAGAGCGAGAAAGAGACTTAGAGAGAGAAAGGGTCATTATATATGCTGAAATCTAAGTTCAAGATAAGGTGTGGAGGTAGAGAAGATATTACTAGAGCTTGTGACTGTTGGGAAAACAGCACAAGTAGAAGAGAGAAGAAGAAGCAGCTTTCCATCAGATGTTATCTTTTGAAAAACTTCCACCAGATCCCCCATGTCATCATCCCCAGCCTTTGATCATCAAAGATGCTAGTACTAGTCATGAGCAGCCACTAGATCTATCTAATAATCCACCCCTTCCTAAATTCTCCATCAGGTATAATCTCTCTCTCTCTCTCTCTCTCTCTCTGTAGAAATGAAAATATGAACAGTTAATGATGATCCTAACTTGGGTTTTTGTTTTTCTTACATGGGGTTCTAACCGCTTCTCTCTTTTCTTGTGTGATCTCAAAGCTTATCTCATATCATCTTAGAGCTTGTCGAGTCAGATCCAGAGAGAGATGCAAATATGCGTGTTGTTGTTGCTTGTGGCTCATCCAACATATGGGGGGCCTTGAGTCATGACCACCCCATCTTTGTCTCTATTTTTAGTGTGTTGGGGCTTTTTTTTCCCTGCTTTGGCTAATAAACGAAACTCGTTCACGGCTTGTCACCCAAAAAAAAGAAAGTCGTTCACGGCTCTTAATCCCCCTGAAAACCACACGTTTCTTCATGTGATTAATTTCCCTAATCCATGCTGATAATCCACCCAACTCAATGTTAATTGTTGCTTGTGATTTCATGTCACCCTACCTTAATTTCCCATGAGTTTTAATTAGTCTCTCAGACGGTGTTATTTAGAAGAGAGAGACTTACATGAAATGGTGACGCCCGAGTTTTAATGAATCCCTAAGACCATTTCTGCAGACATCACATGGATATTACTCTACTGTTTGTGTATTTTCTTTTTCCTTTTTAGTTCCATGGTCCATGTATATATTCCCTTCTTTGATTAGCAATTTTCATACAATAAAGTTTGAGTTCTCTTTGGACCTAGTCTAAAGGTGGCTAAGCTTAGCTCATTGGAATTGACCATTTGTGTGAAGAATCAGACGTATATGATGTTTTTACGTTGCGCAGAGATTATGTTTTTACATCCCGGAGCAAAGATATCGAGACCAACTGGCCTTTTTCTCAGAAGAATTTGCAACTTTGCTTGAAACATGGCGTGAACGATCTGTTGCCGCCATTTCAGAAGCTTGATGCAGTTAGAAACCAACCCGTCAAGAGATGTACGGTTGAAAGTGAAAAGAAAAGCAATCTTGATGTTTCAGAATCTTCCGGGCAAGATGATCATGCAGTATTAAAGTCTTCGTCAAACGATACCAAGTTGAAGGAAAAGCTAACAGAAGCTTGCACAGAGACTACAACAACCACTTCATGCAGGTCTGAAGGAGAAAATGATTTTCCATCCACACTTACGAGTGTTTCTCAATCTGAAATAGAAGAGTCAGTTCCTACGAACAGGCCGTCGAGGTTGCCGTTAGAAATTGATACTTCCTTGGAAGCTGCATCAGTTGAAGTACTTGAAGCTGCAGGTCCCCCCGTTGTTGTTGTTAACAAGACCGGAAACACGACGCGACCCTCGGGTAAGAAGTGCAGATTGGTGGTGAAATTCGGTAGCCACTCAGAGAGAGGATCAACCGAAGATATTGCGTCGAATGCTACTACCATTTCAGAAACAATGACTTCAAAAACTTGCCCTGTTTGCAAAACCTTCTCATCATCTTCTAATACCACCTTGAATGCTCATATTGATCAGTGCCTTTCTGGGGAGGCAACTCCCAAGTGGGCTGTGGATTCAAAACCGGTTACAAGGTACAGAATTAAGCCGAGGAAGACCAAATTGATGGTGGATATATATACTACTGCCCAGCATTGCACATTAGAAGATCTCGATAGAAGAAATGGCTCGAGCTGGGCCACGAGCGTTTCAAGCTTTCCTACTCGGGATAAGAAGTCTGAGGTGCCGGTTGAAGAGAAAAGGCGAAGAGTATCCTCAGTCCATCCTGATGATATTGATGTCGGTCCAGTCTATGTAGACGCCAATGGCACGAAAGTTAGGATTTTATCGAAGTTTGATGATGCACCATCTCCATCAGTGCCTAAAGAGGTAGAGCATCTTCGACCAAGAAAACCTTTGAAACCCGGCAAAGGAAGCAAATTCCTTTCAGCGAAAAAGCAAAAGCGCCATCCATCTAAACATCAGAAGTACCTTAAACTTGCTCCTCAAAGCAAAGATCTTCTCTCTCCTAAGGCTCATTCTTCTCAGGTACGCCACTCTTGCTTTCTGTATTTACTTACTTTCTGCATAGGTCTCACCACCTTATAAACAACATGCGCTTCCGATGCAACAGAAGGAAAACGAATAAAGAAGCTCTCAATATGCTTGAATCCCAATGCTTTCGTTGGTGCTAACACTGCTTTTTCCATTGAATTGAAAGGTTAATAATCCGCTATGTTGCAAATGTGGTGGTTTTTCAAAATTAACATGCGGTGGAATTGTTTTTAAACAGATTCATGGGGGTCAAGAAACATGTGAAGCGAAAGAAAATTCCGAGGAAGGACAGCAAATGGAAGAGCAGCTCAATTCCTGTAATGCTGGAGCTTTAAGAGGATGGGCTTGCTCCAAACGCACTGGTGTTGTAAAGAAGTTGAACAAGAAGCATGTGTCTCAGGACTTTTTGGTTGAGAGTGATCAAACATATTTAGATAACTGTCGTGTGGAGGGAAACTGTGGTAGAAAGGTAATGAATTTGTCTGGAAATCCAATTTCTTCTCCTGAAAAAAGTGGGAGCACAGAGAATGCATGTGATGAAGCTCAAGCTAGTGAGAAAAGTGACTGCTCTCCTTGGAGAAAGAGAGCAGGAAGCCCCTTTCCTGGTGAGCAAAGCCAGCATCAGTTTAGCAAAGACACAACTTTTTCGCCTAATAGTTGCACGCTAAACCGTACATACTCTGATGTGAACTTTGCACCTGTGTTGAGCAACAATACAATTGGTTCTGCTGCGGATTTCACCGAAAATTTTGATTGTGCCCCTCGCGCTAGCAAAAAACTATCTAAGAGTCGTGATGCCCCCAGATCAAATGCCAGGAAATCCCTCCCGCCAAAGAAAAATGTGTTGGCTATTGGCAGGCGGGTATCTTTGACTGAATCCAGTCCCAGTGTCGCTATGAATTGCTCAGCTGCTAAGAATCAAGGGCAAAGGGAAGAAATAGATAAAGAGGTTGCTGCCTGGGATTCTGAGGCTGATCAACAGTATGATTTCATGCATAATTTTGCTGGAAAGCGGTTTCGAAAAGATTGTAGCGATGAAGTATCAGTATCCAGAAGCACTGTGTTGCAGAGGAGAAAATGTAGAGGTTCCTTAAGTAGCTCTAGAAGGGATGAACCCATGGCCTTGGAAGGTTCTCAATTTGCACCTGAGTTTTATGGACATGATGAGAGGGAAAAGATGGATACTTCTGTTACCGTTCGTGATGAATATCTGGAAAAAGTTGATGGCCTGGGAGGTTCTGAGAGGGAAGATCAAATCCATGATGGTGACATGGTTAGTGAAAATCCTGCCCTAATAGGTTTCTGTGAAACCGAAGCAGTAACAAGTCCAACTGATCCAAGCATTAGTAATGAGCAAGAGATGTTTTGTGGTGATGGACTGGAAGATGGCACACTAGGGCAGAATGTTCATAGCATGGAGGAAATGGACTCTGATGATGGCCAAGGAAGCTATTTTCCTGAGGTTGATCCAATACTTATCCCAGGGCCACCAGGATCGTTTTTGCCAAGCCCTAGGGATATCGGGTCGGATGATTTTCAAGGGAATTCGTCACTAACCACGAGCCGAGTTCAATCATCTCAAGATCAGCTTGATTTTATTGATGGGGATTCATCAGATTCACCAGTTTCTACAACATCAACCATCTCTAATTCCAGAGGGACAAAGTTTGACCTGAAGCATTCTGAACCGTCATCTTCCATAGGACCTCAATCTGCTCAGGACAAGATCAGGCCGGGCCTATCACGTGCAGTTAGTGGTACTTCTGAAGAAATTAATGCCACTGCAGCCCAACATATAACTGGTACAGCAGCTGAAAGACTTTCTTTTGATAGAGAAAACTTTAAGGTCACCAAGATATCTCTCGAGAGGGGACCTATCAGCTTCAAAAGTAACGATCAGCCATGCTGTTGTCAACGAAAGGAGAGAACTTCTCAGGGTTTGGCTTTAAATTATCAAGAATCACCACTATTAATGCGGCGAGCAATGGCACTGCCTGCCATGGGAAAGCAAATGGGTGGCAATCCAAACACAAGAACTAACAATTTGGAGTCGGGGTCTGACATGACAGACTCGTTCTTTCTGAGTGGTGGTACAACATTGAGATCTGAACAGGCAGTTTTTCCTGTCACCAAGTCATCATCCAGTCACCATCCTTCGAAGGGTTCTCCAGATGGCAAAGGGAAGTTGTCAGGTCACAGTGAAAGTGATTCTTTTAGTCCATCTGCTTCTAATTCGATACTCAGGCTAATGGGAAAGAATTTGATGGTGGTCAACAAAGAGGAAGATACATCAGTTCCACCGGTGCAGGCTCAACCACTTGCGCAAACTAACCATCTAACTTCACAGTTTCCAACCTTCTCAGGAGTTGTTCCTGGCAATCTTCAGAATCAGTTCTATCATTCCTTTCAACATAACAAAGTGGGGGAATGTTTTGACGCAAGTGCAGCGCACTTCAACAGTTTTAGAAGCTATAGCAATCCGAGGACACCACAAGTGGTTGCACGAGGACCTGCAAGCTTGTTTCCAAAGCATCATACAGATGGCAGTTTTGTGGCATCCATGGAACCTCATGAGTATAACGGCGATCATAATTTTCCAATGCCACAGAACAGGTATATAAGCAAACCCATTGGAGGAGCACCCGCGTTTCATATGGAGAGAATTATGAACCCTCCTGACCGCCAACGCAAGAATGGACATTCTGCTTTCAGTGCCAGTAAAGAAATTATCATCATTGATGATGTTCCGGAAAGTGAAGCTGATTTGACCTGCAGTGTTGCAAAGTACTCTGAAGGGTTGAGGGAAAGCCAAGTAGTTTGTTCCGTCAGTCCAGTTCCAGCAGCTCCCAGTTATAACTCAAAGCGTGTGAATAATCCTTTCTCTCGTTATGAGTCACAGGAACCTTCTTTACTTTGTGGATCACCCGTTTTGTACAACACCACCTTGCATGCAGTTCCCTCCAGGCTAGCCAATAATAGTAGTCCTGTTAAGTGGAGTTGTACTACTTCAGAAGGCTCGGGTGTGCAGCACCGGGCTTCTTTTCTTGCAGCACCATCGCCAAGAGGACATCTGAGATCTACACTGTACGATTCACCGAGCTTGTCATAGAAAAACATGTCGCGTTTGAATGAGGAGAAATGGCGTGCAGTCCACATGCTGTTACTCTACCAAACGTTGGTTCGAAATCATGCAATTTTTTTTCAGGTTTCTGCTTAGGCATGCTTTAAGCTATCCAGAGAATAGACAGTGTTTTTAAGGAAAATCCATGAATAATATACAGTTGACATAAAAGCTTGGCTCGAAAGTGAATATTTTCGAGCATCAGTATAAGTAAGGCGTTTATGTCCCTTTTTTTCTTCTTTCTTATAGAATTTTGTTAGAGGTACTTAATTTCCTTGTGTGTTCGGCCTCTCCTTGATCAAATGTGAAGCACAGCACCATGTTCTAGTCTTGAAAATCGATTATTTCTGGTTCATCCCGATTCATCTGCACATCCGTAAATTAGCACGCATTCGAATACTGCAGAACTTCAGACATAGATCAAACTCAATTGCTTGGAGGGCAAGAGGTTCTTTATTGTTTACGTTGATTCATCATTGTTTTCAAGAAAATGTATACAAACATACACCTAAGTTATAAATAAAACTGGAATTGAACATCCCTCTCATTTTTTTCTGGCTGGACAAAAAAATGTTGATGCTTATTAGAAGTTATGGTAATGCTAATTAATCTTTCCATGAACATGAGAGCTTCTGAATGCATGGTTGCAAATGAAATGGTGGTCGAGGTGAAAGTTTAAGAAATTACCTTTGATCACAAAATAACTATGCAATGAACGGTTCAAAATTTCACGATGAAAAACTAACATGCAGACATGTACCGCAATCAAAATTGATCATCCTTCTTACACTTGATTATATATATATGCTCTTCTTCGTCTTTGGGTTAATGTTAATATTGTATGTGTTTCGTTTATAGATAAATGAGAGGCTCCACCATTAGATTTTGCTAAGACAAGGTATTTTCTAACCAATCAAATTTACATTATATATATGTATTTGTAGTGGGGTCCGAGGAGTACACAAGTGAAATGCACAGGAAATAGTGACGGATGAAACCCCATATATTCAATAAAATTAGGTTAATTCTACGTAGGTTTTCAGTCACTACTTATTTTTCGTTTTTTGTTTTCTCTTATCCTCTAGCTATAGCTTCATTTTGCATGGTACGCGGCATAATTATATATGGTACTGTATTACCTTTGCTTGTTCAGGAATTCATGAGCATGCATGGAAGTTTGGCTTACCACGAAATGTAGCCGTTAGAGAGAGAGAGAGAGAGAGAGAGAGAGAGAGGTGCATTGCATGGTCAATTTGAAGGTACATATAAACGACAAGATGAAACACAAAATAAATGGCCGTTGGATTCGCATTATACCATATAGATGCTTACTAAGGTGCTGACGTAAATAGACGACAAGAGCAACTTATATGAGTATGATGTTATCGTGATGTTATATATTAATAATCCAACAACGTCCTTTGAAAACAGATTTTCACATATCATTATATTATAAATATAAAATATCATGATTATTGTGTACTCGTGTCAAGTAAGGTAAGCTAAAACTATTATTTTAAGGAAGGCAAAGGGATGGAACGTGGGGTGTGTGAATTTTGCATGGTGAAAGCTGGACAACTCCCCATTACACACTCTATACAAAGACAATGGCTCTGCTTGTTTGAATTGTCGGTTGTGGGCCATTCTTCATCTTTCTTCTTGTCACTTTATACTTATTAAGCCTTCTCAAAAGGAGCATTACTTGAACGTTGAAAATCTTAGAGAGAGAGAGACAGAGAGAGAGAGAGAGAGAGGTATTGAGTACTCTTTAAGACTTAGTGTGAGAGAGAGAGAGAGAGAGACAGGGGGAGAAAGGAGGGAAATACTTGAGTAACGAGTTGGATAATCTCTCTTTCATATTATAATAGTAATAACATTATTATGATCCTCCCATCTTTGCTTAATCCTGTTCATAATTCAAAACTTGATTCAAATATTTAGTTTGTAAAGGCTTGTTCATTTAACATTTTGTCAAACAGTTCTTAAAATTTCGAAGTTTTAAATGATCTGTATGTAACCATGTATTTAAAGTTTCAAACTTTACAAACAAGTTGGAAACAAGTAAGTTGGAAATGAGAGTTTTTCTTTTTAAAATTCGATTCCAGTAGTTTGTAAGTGAATCCATGTATCCAAAGTTTTATTTTAGGGAGTTTTCTTTTTAACATTTTATACTTTAGGAAGAAGTTGGTCATGTGGGTTCAAAATTAATTCTAATACGTCTAGTTTGTGGGTGATTGCATGTATGCAGATGTTTTAAAATTATACTTGAAGAAAAAGTTGGTCGTTTGCCTAAAAGAGAAAACAAACTCGTTTTTTTTTCCTATGCATTGAAGATTTAAGACAAACATGATTGGTTGTTCGGGATAACTTTATTTACGAAGAGATCGCATGACCAACTTCTTTAATGTACCTCATTTTTGTGTCCGTACAAAGATTATTTTTGTACGAATTAAGATTTATACTCAAACACTTTTACTAGAAGTAATTTCATTATAATTATATTATTGTAGTTTTTATTAAAACTATAAGTATTGTGTGTAGAGGATTTACAAGTACTTCTTCAAAGCAACCCACGAGTATTTTTTTCAAAAAAAAGTTTCATTACCCAGAAAATAATTTCTAAATTTTTCTGTAAAAAAATAAAAAATATCTATTCGATAACCAATCACAAACATAATCTTGATTAGTTATGCATAACTACAGCTTTTAATTAAGGGAACTTTAACGAAAAGCACCCGGTACTGTTCACTTTAACGAAAAACCACATTTTTACACTAAAAAGTCAATCCTGATACTATTCACTTTACCCTTTATCTTGTCCTTATCATTAAAACTTAAAGTTTTCAAACCCTTTTCATTAATTTTTCTTTTAATTAATTGTTTCGTTATAAAGGACATTCCCCAACACACATACTGTTACAATGCATTGAGTTCGGGTTGAAAAAGTCGGCTTTGCACGTCTCAGTGGAAGTGGAATTTCTGTGTACGTATGAACAAGCACAAAAGTCAAAGCACAATGATGATAATTAATTAATTTGAACACTAAGTTGCAAAGCGACAACTCAAATTAAATCAAACGATTCCACTATCTTATTCTGTTAGCCATACTCACACAATTAAGGATTTCGATTTCTCTTATGCACAAATCAAAAGTTTAGATTTTCTGATTCCTAAATTCTGGACAGCAAAGTCCAATAGAGGATTTAAAAGTACTTCTTGAAAAAGCATCCAACGAGTGTTTTTTCAAAAAATAGTTTCATTACCCAGAAAATAATTTCTAAATTTTTCTGTAAAAAATAAAAACATCTATTCCATAACCAATCACAAAATACTCTTAGATTGGTTATGCATAGCCAATTAAACTATAAGTTGAGCTTTTAATTAAGGGAACTTTAACGAAAAGCTTTCAATATTGTTCACTGTAACGAAAAATCACATTTTTACATTAAAAAATCAATCATGGTACTATTCATTTTACTTTTTATTTTGTCATTTTCGTTAAAACTCAAAATTTTCAATCATTTTTCATTAGTTTTTCTTTAATTAATTGTTTCGTTATAAAAGACATTCCCCCACACACATACTGTTACAAGGCATTGAGTTTGGGTTGAAAAGGTTGGCTTTGCACGTCTTAGCGGAAGTGGAATTTCTGTGTACGTATGAAGAACAAGCACAAAAGTCAAAGCACAATGATGATAATGAATTAATTTAAACACTAAGTTGGAAAGGGACAACTCAAATTAAATCCGACGATTCCATTATCTCATTCCGTTAACCATACTCACACAAATTAAGGATTTCGATCTCTCTTACGTACAAACCAAAAGTTCAAATTTTATGATTCTTAAATTCTGGATATGAAAATCCGAAAACGATCCAAACTCCAAAAATAGATAGAATCTTAAATTTGAACTGGTATTGACACCTTCGAGAGGGATCACGAGTTGAGTCTGAACTCATTGACAAATTGGCAAGCCTAGCAAGTTTAGATTAAACTCTCTGCATGGTCAAGAGTTAAACGCGTCCAAATTCAACTAAAATCTGCTTTAGCATAACTTCCAGTTTACGTTAGTAATTAATATTGTACATATTGAAATGATTTATATTCACTTATGCTAAGTTTAATCTTGTTTGAATTTGAGTTATAGTTTTAGCTTGTAGATTTTCTTTGGAGTGATAGTGGGAAGGGAGAAATCGAACTTAGACAACAACTGTAAAGTTAAATGTTCTTGATCATTTGACATACAAGTTCATTGTGTCTTAGCTTGCAGATTAAAATGATCATTTCAGTTCAGTTAATTGAGAAATTATTCAGTGTGACAGTTATATTGTCACGTAATATTATCAATTTACTCATGTTATAATACGCGTATCTTTTTATTAATATTATATCATAGGTTTACGAAATGCCAACCTTAGAGTTTACGCTTATTACAATATTTAAATTGGTAACACTTCATTGTAGTTCGACCCCCACCCCCAAAAATTGAGTTTATCCAAAGAAGAAATACAATTTTTTCTCTTTCACTTGAGCAACTCAAAATGGTTAATATTTAACCAAAGAGAAACAACTCGTTTTTAAGTGTTTTTAAAATGATTGAAATGCTTTTAGGTAAAATATTTTTAGGTTCTAAAAGCACTTGAAGTGCTTTTTACAAAAAACATCAATTATGTGCTTATTCCAAAAAGTATTTAATATTTTTTTTCAAAATTTACTTACATTTTATTAAAAATTAGTTACAAAAACATTTTCATCAGTAACGCTTGAAGCGAGTTTAAAACACCTTCGGACGAGCTCATACTTTACACCCGGACGATAATAATTGTAAAATGTCACAATGTACACAAACATTTTTTACCATTTCACAACAACGTATAGAAACTCCACTAACGAACCCAAATCTTCACCTTTCACGCTTCCCTTCCCTGTCTGTCCCTCACAGCCCCACTCACCAACCAATCAAACTCAGAGACTGTCACAGCCTCACAGACTTCACAGGGTTGAAGGGTTTGAAGGGTAGGTTAACGAACCAAACATTCAAACCACCCCACTCCAAAAAATGTCGCCGTCGCAGTCCGTCACAGCAACAACCTATACCAGCATACCCATTTCGGTCTCGGGCTCCGACGCCATCACCCGATCCATCAAAAACCTCAACGACGCCGTTTCCCGCCGCCGTCCATGGTCCGAATTCGCCTCCTCGATCTCCCGACCCGACTCCTTATCCTCTGCCCTGACCAGGATCCAGACCAACGCCAACCACTTCCGGGTCAACTACTTGTTATTGATCGGATCCTGCGGGGTGCTATCCCTCATCGGGAGCCCGTGCTGGCTTCTGGTGACGGTGGCCGTCGTGGGGTTGTGGCTGGTGATCTATGTTTTTAGGGAGGACCCACTTGAGGTGTGGGGCCACCACGTCAGTAATTGGGCCGTGATGGCGGGCCTGGTGGTTGTTTCTGTTTTGGTTGCTTGGGCCAGCGGTGGGCTTGGGAGTATTGCATTGGGCCTTGGAGTTGGGCTTATGTTGTGTGCGGTGCACGGGCTGCTTACGAACACAGAAGGCTTGTTTCTCAACGAGACCGAAGCTGCTTCTCAGGGATTGATTGGGCCCACATCTTCATCAGTCTAATAATTCAATTATTTATTTTTAATGTGGGTTTGGTGTGTAATTTTGTTGTTTTGACTTTTGTTTGACTTCAAACAAACGACAAAGAAATGCTTGTCGTTTTTTTTTTTTTTTTTACGAATTTTTTTTTTTAATAGATTGTGGTGGATTGATTTAGGTGTGTAAAACTGTAATTGAAAATGGGGTTTTCCCTTATAACATTGATCTGTGGATTCTATTTTTGATGGAATGAAGACGTTGATTTCATATTCACTTGTGTCACCATTCCAATGCTATGAATTTCTTATAGTTTTACTCTAACTTAAGAGGAGAGAATTCGAACTCCGACGAAAAGTAGCAGAAACACTGCTCTAACTAACTGATCTAACCAAGTCCAAATTTGTTTGCTCACACTCAAATATTAGATACTAAAGAGACTTTCTCAAAGTGAAATTCTCATAGACTTTTTGTCACCTCACAGTTTAACGTCAATTCTCATGTCAACATTATAAAACATTGTCTCAAAATATAATGTGACAAAAAATCCATGAAAAGTCTTATTTTTAAAAGAATCTCATTAGCATTTCTCATATTACTTTGATTAAGTTGTACTAAATTTCAGATAAATTTGTATGCAATATGTTTAAAGTGATGGAAGAAATGTCCTTGTCCCTCCAACCATAAAACACATAAATATTGATTACTGCTATGGATGGACCATGTCACTTGACACCAGGCAAACCTTTTATTGCTTTATCTATCAACATGGGACCCTTTGATTTTAGTGCTTCCAAACGTTACATTGGTTAGAGCAAATGTATTCTTTTGTATGCAAATGTATTCTATCATAGCGACACGTGCACACTAGATTTTTTTTGTTTTTTCTTCTAGTGGTTTGATTCATTAAAATAGAATATCGCTTGTATCATAATGAAATTTCAATGAAATTTCGGTGCTAAAAAGCCGGAGAAAAAAACAGATAACTAAATGCAAAATTTCAGTGCTCTTATTCTCTAACCGGAAATTATATGGTCTACTAAATTGCCGATATTACAAACTAAACTAAGATTTGATTACAAGTGTTAACAAAACTGAGTTCCTCATAGAACAAAGGCTTGCTTGTTTCCAAAGCAACGGAGATTTATATTTTGCTTCTCATCCTTACTAACTTTGCCAAAGTTTCTTGAGCTGCCAATGTGTGAGCATGGTTATGCCCTAGCATCACTGTTCTGATGCTGATACAAGTCCTGCACAGCTCTTCGCCGCTGTCGAAATGCCCACCTCTAAGCAGCAACTTTGCCCTCGTCTCCAGCAATGTCGCCTTCAACAGCGTCACGTCTTGCCACACGTATTCATCTACCCTCTGGTTGCTTTGCAGCTTGTTCTTCCAGCAGAGAGAGCCGTGGCACCAGTCTTGGATTTGTGATACGAACGACTTCTCTACTTCTTCAAGTACGTTAGTGCACACCTTTAGAAGTTCCAATGCCGAGTTGCATCTGGAGAAGGTTGTGAATGCTCTGATTGCGAGAGGGAGGGCGGTTTTCTTGATGTATAAAACCATGTCGATCGCCTTTAGCTGGACGAGGGGAGGTTCGGATTTGAAACCAAAAACAAGGAATGCAGTAGCCCAAAGATGGTCTAGGTTCACCAATGGATTGCCAATTTTTCTTATGCCTTGAATTGTTGCCTTGGCAGCTACTAAACCTTCTTTTCTCTTTGTGTATACTTGTGTAATGGGATGGAATTGGATCCAGCATCCGAATGGTTTTTTTGCCGCTCGCGCTAATCCCAATTTAACAAGAAGCAGTGCTGAATCTTCTTCGCTACTCTTCCATGCTTGTGGTCCAAAGCAACCAGAGCAGCCACTTATGCAATTAGTCCACTTCCTTAGCCGGCTTTCTGTGGCGGGCATATTGTTAGCTGCAGTAGTCAGCAGAGTCAAGGAAATCGGTGTTGGAGCAAACCAGGCGCCAACAAGAAGCATTCTTAACGCAAGATGATTGATTCTCCCATTAGATTGTTGCAAGACGGCGAAGCAAGAAGCTATGACTTTCATTAGGAAAATGTTGTTCTTGTAGTACTGCTCTTCAGTGATGCTTATGAAAGGGCAAGGAGAGCCCTCATCAAGCTGAACTTGGCTGATAGCTTCGAAGAGAGCAGAAGGCGCAATGGCTAGTTCCGAAAGCAGCGATCCAATCAGCCACAAACCAAAACTCAACCTTCCTAACTTCTCATCGAACTTCGTCAGAAATTCCAACTCCCTAGCCGGGTACTCTTTCTTTTTCCTTCCTCTAATCAAAATCATTGCCTCTGACGCAGGCAAGGGCGGAAGCTGCATTGCGTCAAAATTCATTACTTTCGACAACCTAGTTGTGATGATCACATGAGACCCTCCTGTGTTCCTTGGGATCAAGTCATGTAAATCCTTCCCTTCCCACCACTCCCTCTCAGTCTCAAGATTATCGATCACGATCAAGTAAGGCATGTCCCTAAACAACTCCCTCTTCACCCTCTTAAACGCTTCGAATTCCTGCTCCTCAAAGCTTCGAATCCTTCCTCTATCCTTCTCAGCATCAGCACTCACATCCAACCCCAAATTCTGAGACAGATTCAATATGTTCTGCCTAAAATACCTAGCTTCCCCACTTATCCACAACACCATTTTGTACCTCTGGGAATACCTGTAAGCGAATTCCAACACAAGCTCCGTCTTGCCAATCCCGGGAACCCCATTTATGCAGATCACACTACTCCCCAAGCCCTTGTAACTTCCACTTTTCGCTCTCTTGTACTTCGACCTCTTGAACGAATTCCGCCCCACAACTGGTGGTTCAATCCAAGCCTCCAAGTTAGGCTCCTTGCATTTTCCCACCTCCAAATTAATGTACCTCCCTCTAGTAGTAACAACTTCACTCTCCTCATCAGCTAACCCTTCCGATTGGCCACTCGCTTCGCCTTTAACCACCGAGCATTCCTGCTCCAATAAGTCCCCAGAAGAACCAAAAAATGCGGTTTCAATCTCTGCAATCTCCTTCTCTCTCCCAACAAAAAACCTATTCCTCGAAAAAGGCAGCTCATCAACTCCCTCCACATCCGTCTGCTGTGAAACGCTCTGCCTCCCAAGCTTGCCCCTCAAAACTCCGGCCGCTTTCGACACAATGCTCCTCCAGTTCCCGTCATTGGCCTCCAACTTATACTCATTACACTTCATTATCCCATCAACCGCCTCCCTGCACTCTTTCTCAACCGAATTGTAGTTCAAAATCCCTGAAACTTCTTCAGGACTGGTGTCGAAAAAAATGGGAAAAAGATTCTTCTTCTGGGCAAAAAGCCTTACCTCCTCCATACTCAAATGGTTCAAGAAGCTCGAGCTCGTAACCACCACAACTCCATAGGTGACTGAGCAGATAACTCTGTCAGCAATCTCTTGGCTCTGAGAGTCCGAATACTTGGCTCTGTCCGCCACAAAGCATGCGATGCCTTGGAGCTCAAGCTCCGATTTCACCCACTTGCAGAACCTCACCAAGTTGGGATTTTGGCCGTGGAATCCGATGTACACGTCGCAGCTCCGCAGCTTGGTGGCGGAGGAAGCAGGGGAAACAGGGCCGCCTGCCCCGCCGCATTTGGCAAACGAAATCCGAGGGACCGGAAAGGAAAAGGAAATGCGGGGAGGGGCATTGTCGAACTTGTGCTTTAATGGGTCGGAGACGTCGTCGGAGTACTCGTACAGGTCCGACGGCGGAGTGTAGGAGCTGCTGGGTATGTCATCTGACTGTGGACCCCTGTAAGGTGAGGACAGGGTAGTTGCTGGGTTTGAGGTCTGCTGGGTCTGCTGGGTTTCCTGGGGTTTGGGGGTTGAGGCTCTGGGGGAAATGTAAGGCGACTGGAGAGCCGAAACAAATGCTGAGGAGGGTGGGGAGATTAAGGAAGGGGAACTGTAGGGCGAGGACAGAGCAGTAATTTCCTTACCTGTAGCTGCTGCTGAAGAAGCTGTTTTGATGGTGAGGACATTGGAAACCATGGTGTCCAGAGGAGATTTCTGAGGGGACTCAGCAGATTTTGGTGTTGGGTTTTCTTCCACCATTGCCAACTTCAAATCTTCGTTAGATCTCATCTCGGGTGTGCGGAAATCACTTCCCTTCGTATTATCGCTCCTTTTCACTAAACTGTACTTTGAAGAACATTGTGCATTTTCTCAGGTCCCCAGAAGCATCATTTTTTTGGTCAGAAATTTCACAGCTTTCTTCTCAGATGGCAGTAGATGAATGCAATAGTTAAAAAAATAAAAAACCCAAACAGGAGAAATCTTGAAATCTTTCTTCTGTTGTTGATGTATGTCACTTGCCATAGTGTGGGCCAATCTTATGGGGGGTCAGTTCAGAGCTAGCCAGAAGAACTTTGTTTTTATGCTGCAGATTTGACAAAGAGAGAAGAAGAAAATCCATGTCAAGAATCAATGATTGTTCAGTCACTGGTTAAAAACAATCATGGGTTTCTCTTTTTTCATGCACTTAAATGAAATCAAGCATTTTATTCAGAATATTATAAAAAATAAATGAAATTATTTACCTTGGTTGGATTCATAATATTCAAAATTTGAAGACCCTACTCCCCTGCAACTTCTCAGAAACCCATCTCTTAAAATTTTCTTTTCCCTCTCTCTCTCTCTCTCAATGAACAAGCTGGACACTGGACAGAGATGGATGGGGGAATCTAATTGGTAATGTATGGGTTGGATCTGTGAGGTTTTTTGAACATTAAATATTGCTCCAATGGCTTAAAAAGAAGTTTGCAGAAGAGGGATATTTTGTATAATATTGTTACTGTTATGGTACTGAATAATCAAACAATAATTTGTATTGGGGTTTGCCAATTTCTTTTTGTTTTTACGTGCTGTACATCTTGATCTCTCTCACTGGTTCACAGAAGCCAAAGGTTGGTCAGAAAGCACTTTGGAGAAAAGGACTTTGGGAGTGGAACCTAACTCAGAACCTTGTTTTGTACAATATGGTTCGTGTCCATATCGGTTCAAATTTGATAAATAAATAAATATATAACTGTATAGTAATGTATATTTTACTGGACTATATATATTTGGGAATGCAGGTTTTTTGCCCTATGTGTGAAGTCATCCGACACAGTTTGAATATATTTGCATGGGAAATTGGACCAAAGACCAGTCCAACTCACTTACTGAGAACTCAGTAAAATCATTGAGGAGTGAAATTGTAGAAAACTTTCTTACCTAAATGGATTTTTGATAAGAAAAATTTACATGCAACCGAAATATAAAAACATACATGCAATGTAAATGGAACATGAAGTTGGTGGCATATTAAGTATATAGTGTATTGTATGTACTAAAATTTTTAATAAATTGTGATTAGTTAAAAAAACTAACACATTTACATATAATTTTTTCTCGTTCACAAAGTATTCGGAAAATAGTTTTTTTTTATGAAAAAAAAATAGAATCGTTTTTTATCTCACAATTTTTCCAAACATCGATTGTATCTCTTCCCTGCTCCAAGAAGATAAATTCCTTGCCTCAAATGGGATTTGATCATTGGAATGGATGGGATAAATGTAGAAATTACAAGTTTTTTTACTCAAATCAAGATTCCGAAAGGATCTTGAAATGCAGAGTCAACAGACTAAGAAATTCAGACTATTTATTTTAACACTTATGATCCTTATTAGCCTAGCTCATTAGCTCATTTCGCACAAAACAAAATTTTGACTTTCACTATCTTGAACGGTCCAAATTTCTCAACCCGTCAAATCCGAATTGCGAGATCTAGAAAAAATCTTTTTACTCTTCATTCCCAAGTACTTTTACTTGATTGACAAAAAAAAAAGTACTTTTACTTGGTTGCATGCATGTGGGCTATAATACACCAGTCTGTGACAATTATAAAATCTGAAATAGTATAATCTGTCCTTTTTCTTATATACATACATACATACATACATACATACATACATACATATATATATATATATAGGAATTGCTTAAGGGGAGGGATCCCCATTTTTTCAAAAAAATGGGGACACGCTCCCCACCGTTGGATTTGACTTAAATGAAATCCTGTGGTTGAGATTCTATGGCCTGTGTTTTAATTTCAACAACACAATTTCATTAAAGTCAATCTAACGGTGGGGAGCGTGTCCCCATTTTTTTTGAAAAAATGGGGATCCCTCCCCTTAAGCTCCCTGTGTATATATATATATATATATATATATATATATATATATATATATATCATGTGGAAGAGTGTTCAGACTCTTAGTATTATGATTAAGTACACATATGTAGTGGATTTTATTTATAAAAATATGGGTGACTGCACGTATAATGTATATCACTAAGTACTATGATTAAGGATCTCATCGAAACAAATGTAACAACATTTTTTCAAAAGAAATTTATGCATATTTACTTTCATAGAATACACAATGAAAGTATATTTGAATTTCAGACATCCATTACAACGTTTACTAACACGAACATGTATACAATTTGTAACCTGACATCTGAAAACCCACAAATTAGATTAATTAGAAGGGTAACTTATCTATGCTCATCCTATCTTCCCTACCACTGACAATTCATGATTTCTCCATTCCGAATATTAAACATGCCATAAATTTGTCTAACCTTAAAGTAGGGATTTAAGATTAACTTGGATGACTAAATCACATAGAATTCTTCTCTTCAATTGGTACTCTCTCACATTCTGAACATTTTTTATCACGTGTTTATAAATTTTGTACTTCTAAATTTTTTCCATCGATGTCTAGGCATGGAAACATAATCTATGTATCTGGGCCGGCAACGTATTTCTACTTTTTCATGAGTTCTTGTAGTGTAGCTTAATTTAAGTACGCTATTTACTTTTTTTAAACAAATCATCTTGATCTACGACAATAACATCTAAAATCTTTTGTAATCGAGACGAATACCAATATGCGCAAATTGATTCTCGTCGCTCAAAATGCATCGGTGGAGTTTATTCGTTTACTTGTTTGAGAACCCTGTCTACTTGGATTAGAGTATTAGACTAGTGTAAATAGTCATACTAAAAACTCATTGCATATCTAAAGTTACCGTTCGATATTATGTCATGAATTCTTTATCTATATATAGTACTCTCTACCTATGCATTACTCAACTCTAAATTATTTCATGTACCATATAACTTGTAAGATTTAAAGAGCATGCATGTGGCCATGTACGACTTTATGTGGGTTCATATAATTCAATAAATTACACCATATGATATGCTACCTTATGTCATTGATTTGTTTTCTCTGAAAGATTTTTTTTTCACCAAGCATGTATTCTTCCGATCTATAAGAAAAAGGATTCGAACACAAATTTAAAAAAACAAGCACGCTACTTTGATCAACTGGTAACTAATTTAGGTTGCATTTTTCTCAAAAGTATGGAGGGAAAAAGAATGAATGATCTCTAGCTTCCATATTATTTATCTTTAATTTAATAACTAAACTGATAATACTTGCACCATTCAAGGAGGAATTAATGCACATATCCTACTATCTTTGAAAAAAATATTTTTACTGTATAAATTTATAATCGAAACCTTTCAATTTCAACCTTCATTTGAAGATCTCATCCTACAAATAAATCATTCGAATATAAAATTATTTAATTATTCAAATGTATCAAATAGACGTGGATGCAAGTATTCTCCAAAATATACCCTATGGTCTTCATGAAAGGTAAGAGAAACGAGCATATATTAAGTAAATTATATTTGGTTTTGGGAGCTTTTTTCATTTCATTGATATGCATGCATGATTGGGGCAAAGCTGGAAAGTCCTACGGACACAAATAATGTCACCACAGTCCTCAAGCTCCCTTAAAAGCTTGGTCTCTTTTATAAATTAATCTCATTTTTTGGCCTTCTGATTTCTATTTCATGGGTCTCTACATATATATTGAGATCACCTTATTAAAACCCTAATTTGTATATTTTTATTACTCTCTCCAATGATCCTATCCTATATATCTTTGCTGTTTTGATTGTCTCGTGGTTACATTTACACCACAAACACACAAGAAAATTGAAGTTAGAGTTGGTTTATTCTCTTTGCACATGTTTTTCGCCTTTTGATGACTAAAGTAGACTAATTTATAGAGAAACAAAAACATGAATATCCATCATATTTGATATCGTAAATTAAATATATGCACGTAAGTGCTTAAAGATTAACTAGTTAGTAAATTACTTTGACTCTAGTCACTCGTTACGACTGCATTCTTTCCCCACCCTCCTTATGATGTTGAATCGAGCATTTTGGGGAGTAAGGAACTCAAGGCTTTGGAATAACAAGCTTGAAGCCCCGAACATCCTTGTCTCTTGTGTTATTTCTCTGTGGCATGAGTTTGTTCGTACCAACTCAAGCCCAAACCCTCTAAACCGGAAGAGTTCAAATGATAAGGGCCACCTCTACGGCGGCTCAAGGTGAAGATTGACGGTGCTTGGAACAAGAATGTAAAGGTGTTGGAATTGTGGTGCTGGTGCTTGACTACCAGGCAAACTAAAGGAGGTGTCCCCAATAAGAAATAAACACGTTAATCAATATTTAAATGATACTCCAATCATCAACAACCACATCATTTATTTTGCAAAATTTAGTTTAAAAATTTAATATCCTTAACATTACATCGACGGTGATTAATATATGTATTTGGTTTCTAGTTCTTAGATTGATGATATACATTAATCAAAATTTATTTGTTTGTGCAGCCATTGAATGGAACTTCACACTCAAATAATATCGTGAGCATAACAACTCATTCATAAAAGAGTAAAATATTATAAATGATTAGCATTGTAAAAAGATCATTCGCAAATTTCTTATTTTTAATGGAGGTGAGTGAAATGATTTTTTTTCCAATAATGATTCGAAAATGCTCTAACTTACCACAAAAGAGATGCGACCTCGAATAAAAAGGAGCGATTACATGTGGCTAATACTTCCATTTCCTTATATATCTAAAATGGAGGAGTGTCAAATGTTTTGCTCTTTAACAATATGATATTTTATTTCAAACTACTATAATTTTAGATAAGGAGATTTAAATTCGAATACAAAGAGCGAGTGATCATGCATAGTTGTTATTAGGCTTGACAAATGGGTTGTGTTTTTCGTGTTCATGTCACTTTCATGTCATATATGTTGTCTTAACGGGTCATGTTATGTCGTGTCAAACTCGTTATTTTAACGGGTTTTCAACAAGTGATTCGATAATGACCCGATTCGTTTACGAGTCATGCAAGAAATTGTCATATCTAATGTTTAGGTCTAGCAAATGATATCTTATTGGGTGACTCATTAGCGACCGACTTGTTAACAGGTTAACCTAAAACCTGTTATTTTCGTGTCGTTTCTTGTCTGATTAACGGGTCGTACAAAAAATTGTCAGGCTAGTTGTTACGCTCAACCCATGTCTAAAATGCAAATTGAACATTTTTTTCTATACAAACAATAGTGAAGGAGGAAGAAATCGAATTTAAAACCTCAAGTGCAAGATAAATAATCATAACCATTTAAGCTACAAGTTTCTTGCCGGTACGACAAAATAGCAGAAATAATGCTAGAACTATCACTTTCCAACCAAAAACAATGTCAACCCCGTTGATATGCAAACTCAATACCAATAATAATTGCTGATAACTCTGCAAAAAAAGAGTTGCGATGACTAATCCATTGATAGAAACCTCCAAGAAAATGACTATGGCAATTCCTGAAAACTCCTCCACAAGCAACAGGACCGAGATTTCCTTTAGACAAATCATCTGTATTAAGCTTAACCCAAGGAAACCAAGGAGAAGACCAAAGGACAAGAAGAATAATAGGTGCCTTGCAAGGGATAGGTCGGATCCCCAAAGAAGAAATGATTCGAGTGTTAAAACCCTGAGAATAACCATGAATAAACTTCCCACCATGAACAGTTGCCAAATTGATAGACATGCAAAGACGATGAAAATAAATTGGACGACCCTAAAAAATAAATTTATTTCGAGCCTTCCAAATAGCTGAAATAGTAGAAAGACCCGCAAAAATCCATAGATTGTGCAACTGTTTGGAAAAGGGCTTACAGACATAGACATCCCAAAAAACAGCCAAATAATCTGAAAAAGGCAAAGAGGTATCAAATTGACATGCTAACCACCTCCAAAATTGCCTAGATATCCGACATCCAAAGAAAAGATGAATAATAGATTCTTCAGAACTACGACATAAACAACAAATGGATGCCAAAGAAATACCACGTCGTTGTAGTGCACTCTCTGTAGGAAGTTTATCATGAAAAAGCCTCCAAGCCAAAATAGATAGTCGTGATGGAATAAAATGTTGCCAGATAACTTTAGCCCAAGCACAATCACTATGTCTCCTACGAATAAGGTGATAACCAGAAGAAAGAGAAAACCAATCACTTTGGCCTCTTCATACGCAATGGTCTATTTGTTTGGATCGCATTCAGAAAATGACTTTATACACATCTCACATATATCGTGAAGGAAATCTTGTTGCGGATAATTTGCTAACATGGGCTTGTCTTCTCCATCTTTAACATGGCATGATTCTCCTCCGATGGCGGTTCGTGCTACTTTGTTTTCAGACTATGTTGGCTTGCCTGACTACCGCTTCTCAAATTAATGTGCATGTCGGCATCCAGGTTTGTCTCACTTTTTTTTTTCTCCCAACTTTATGGTGTTGTTTGACTTGTTTTGCAAGTTTAGACCTTTAGGTTTGGTTTTAGAAAGGTTAGGTTTCATGTCCCCCATCCCTTTTCTTCGTAGGTTTACCCCCTTCTTTTTTGTGTATTCCTTTTTGTTTTCTCTATTTTTTTAAGAGTAGGGTTTATGTCCCTCATGAATAAGTGTAACTTATTTTTTTGTTATCTATAAAATTATCCTCGTACCGTCAAAGTTTCCAAAAAAGACAAAAAGTTTCTTGCTGGTACGACGTTTTATAGTCGATAAGATAATAAGATAATTAGTGGGAGTTGGGGGCCAATCATGTAAAATGCAAACCATTAAATAAACAAAATTACCAACAAGAACAGCAGTTAACCCATCTCTTAATGTTCTCTTTTCCCTCTCTCTCTCTCTCTCTCTCTGTCTCGATCGATCGATAAACAAGCTGGACAGAGATGGATGGGGGAATCTAATTGTGGAATCAGGATTCTCTCCTGAGCATTTCCCTAGGGATTCCGCAATCTTGTCCGTTTATTTTATATCGTGCGGTCAGTTTTCGTTAGTTACTATTCATATTTGAATTTTAAAATAATTTCTGACCGTACGATACACGATGAACGGATAAGATTGCAGGATTCCTAGGGAAATGTTCAGGAGAGAATCCTGGTTCCTAATTGTGAATGTATGGTTGGATGGTATTTTGTATAATATTATTTTTGTTACTGTCCTGAATAATCAAATAATAATTTGTATTGGGTTCTTTTTGTTTTTATGTGCTTTACATCTTAATCTCACTCACTTGGTTCACAGAAGCCAAAGATTGGTCAGAAAGGACTTCAGAGAAGGACTTTGGGAGTGGAATCCTAACTCAGCACCTTGTTTTGTACACTAGGGTTCGTGTCCAAATGGGTTCAAATTTGATAAACTAATACCAAACTGTATATATTTGGACAGAGTATTGTTAAAGAAATTAAATTTATAGATAAAATTTAAAAACTAAATGATATATCATCAATAAAATTAAACATATTTATCAATATTTAATTAGTAATTCAATTATCAATTTTCAGGAAACTTAATTTATAAATTTATTCTCTTCAACATTACTTAATACAACTTTGTGCTCTGTGTTAAGTAGTCATCTCACAGAGTTTGAATATATTTGCATGGGGAATTGGATCAAAGACCAGTCCAACTCACTTACTGAGGAGGGCTCCGTAAAATCATTGAAAAGTGATATTGTAGAAAACCTTCTTTTATCTAAATGGATTATCGATAAAAAAAACTTACCTACCACAGAAATAGAAAAATCTATGTACAATCGGATTTTTGGTAAGAAAAACTAATATGCATCAGAAATAGAAAAACCTATGTACAATTGAAACAGAAAAATGTACATGCAACAGAGAATAAATATGTAAATGGAACACTAAGTTGGTGGCATATGAAGTATGTAGTGCATCGTCATACGTACTAAAGTTTTTAAATATTGTGTTATTGATTAAAGAAACTGACGCATTTGCGTGCAAGTGTTTTTCGTTTACACAGAGTACTCACATCATGGTATCGTTTTTTCTCACAAATTTTCCAAACATTGATTGTATCTCTTCCCTATTCCAAGAAGAGTTTTTATTTCTAAACTTAACACATTTAATCCTGAAATTAAAAATCGATCAATGCAGTTTCTGAAATTAGATGTCGCAAATAAATGTAGTCATTCCGTCACAACTCCGTTAAAAATTCTGTTATGTACTGACATGGCACATAATTGGGTTCTACAATATAATAAAATATTACCATGTGGATTAAAATATTTAAATAATAATTAAAAAATTATTTTGTATAATTAAAAACAAAAAAAAAAAAGAGAAAAAGAAGAAGAAGATGACCGTTCATCATCTTCTTCCCCTCCTACCCAGCGACCCACCATTCTTCTCCCCTTGAAACGGCACCGTCGCACCCCTTCCCGCATTCCTCGTGTTCGCCGGTGACGGTAATTTGAAATGAAACTTCCTCGATATTGCTCGACCTGGAGGTGCAGGCCGCGGCAAACAGGCGCTGAAAAATGGAGGGAGTTCCGGTGCCGCTTCCGACGCCGCAATCGAAACCTTAAGAACCAGAGGATGGTGCTTCGCGACCACGAACAAGTGGAGGCGATTATCCTGATCCACTCCGCCTTGTCCGACGACAAGCGTAAGGTGGTGAATTCAGTGGAAGCCGAGCTCACCAACATGGACCTAAAATCCATCTCCGCCAGGTCCTTGCCCGACCCGCATACGCTCCGAAAGTCCTCTCACCTCCTCGGCTCCAAAGTCCTCCAGGTAAATCACACCTCTCTGTATTTCTCGTTAATTTTTCTCGTTTTCTGTTTGGTTGCTGAGAAAATAGATGAAGGGACAGAAAAATGTGGTCTTTCTTTTGCGAGGAATTCGAGTAGTCGGCGGCTTTTGAAACTTGGGCTCACAGAAGCTCGTTCCTGGAACCAAGGTACTTACTGCTACTTGATGCTTGCTCAATGCTCAGCCTGTGTTATACATGTAAATAAGTAAGAGATTTCTTTGATTGATCAATTTTTGGATTTTGAATATGTTCAGTTTAGTATTCAAGCTAGTATGAAATTGAGCTAGATTATGAAAATGGTGGGTCGCTGGGTAGGAGGGGAAGAACAGTCATCTTCTTCTTCTTTTTCTCTTTTTTTTTGTTTTTAATTATGTAAAATAGTTTTTTAATTATTATTTAAATACTTTTAATCCACATGGCAATATTTTATTATATTGTAGAACCCAATTATGTGCCATATCAGCACATAACAAAATTTTTAACGGAGTTGTGACGGAATGACTACATTGATTTGCGACACCCAATTTCAGGAACTATATTAATCGATTTTCAATTTCAAGGACCATCTTGATTGGGTAGGTCAATTTCAGGGACCATTTGTGATAAAAACCCTTCCAAGAAAGATAAAATTACTTGCCTCAAATGGGCTTGATCATTAGAATGGATGGGATAAATGTAGAAATTACAAGTTCTTTTACTAGAATCAAGTTTTTTTCCGAATTTTGAAATTCAAAATAGATAGGTCGAGAAATTCAGATTACTTATTTAAATCTTATGGCCCTTATCTCACTGGTTCACTTCACACAAATTAAAAGTTTAGATCTCCTCTCCTCTTCTCTCTTAAACCGTCCGAATTTCTCAATTTATTTAGTCCGGATTGCGAGATCTAGAGAGAATTTGAATTCTTTGTACTCTTCATTCCCAAGTATGTTTACTTGGTTGCATGCAGGTGGCTATAATACACCAGTCTCTAACAACTATAAAATCTGAAAGAGTATAGTTTTTCCTGTCCTATTGCTTTAGATATATAATCATGTGAAAGAGTGTTCAGACTCATAAATTAATGTTATGATTATGTTTAGTGGTTTTTATTTATAGTATATTATCTAGACATACGTGTAGTGGTTTTTATTTATAGAAAATATAGGTGGCTACGTGTATAATGCATATTACTAAGTACTAAGATAAAAACAAATGTAACAACATTTGTCAAAAGAAACAATCTATGTATCTAGGTCGGCATCGCAGTCGTATTTTCATTTTCTCATGAGTTCTTGTATTGTAACTTAACTTAAGTTAGTTATTTATTTATTTTTTAACAAACCGTCTTGATCTACAACCATAACATCTAATTAATCTTTTGTAATCAAGATCGATACCAATACGTGCAAACTGGTTCTCACCGTTCAGAAGGCATCAGTGGAGTCTATTCATTTACTTGTTTGAGCACCCTGTCTACTTGGTTTAGAGTATTAGACTTGTTGATGCACAAAACCGGAAGGTCTTGGAACAACGTAAATCCGACCGTGAATCATGCAAACGCCCAAAAACACAAAGATGTATCGTGGTTCATCCCAATGTTTGGGCTATGTCCACACTGATGTTGATTGTATTTCTCTGTAACTGTATGTATGAATTACAAGCTCAAGGGGAGTTCCCCTGAGGAAGAAAGAGTTGTCTCTGAGTTGTTTGAGACTTGTATGTTTTGGAGGTATCCCCTAGTCTCCTTTGTGAGGGGGGAGGAGTCCTCTTTTATAGAATAAGGGCTCCTCCTTTTACATAATTATGGGCTGGATAATGAGGTCCAATGTGTCAAAGTCTGAGATCCAATATGTGTGATACCAACAAGACTAATGTAAATAGTATATACTAATACTCATTGCATATGCAGAGTTATCATTCGATATTATGTCATTAATTATTTTTCTAAATATAGTACTCTCTACCCATGCATTACTCAAATTTGAATTATTTCATGTACCATAGAACTTACTAGAGTTAAAGAACATGCATGTGTCCGTGTACGACTTTATGTGTTTTCATATAATCCAATAAATGACACCATATGATGTGCTAGTACTACCTTCTCCCATTGATTTGTTTTCTCCAAAAGAAAATTTTCTGTTCACAAAGCGTTATTCTTTCAATCCATAAGAAGAAAGATCGAAGCACAAATTTAAAATGACAAGCACATTTTTTTTTATCAATTGGTCTAATTAATTCATGTTGAGTTTTTTATGGAGGGAAAAAAAATAAATGATCTCTAGCTTCCATATTATTTATCTTCAATTTAATAACTAAACCGATAATACTTGCATCATTTAAGGGATGAATAATGCAAATATCTTATCATTTGCGAATAACGTATTTTCATTGTATAAATTCATAATCGAAGTCGTTCAAATTCTTAATCTTCATTTGAAGATCTCATCCTTACAAATAAATCATTCAAATCGAATATTGTTTAATTCCAAATGTATCAAATAAACAGATGCAAGTATCCTTCTAAATAAACCCTATGGCGTTCATCAAAGCTAAGAGAAAAGAGCATCTATTAAGTAAATTCTATATAATTTTGGATCTTTTTTTCATTTAATTGATATGCATGATTGGAGCAAAGCTGGAAAGTCCTACTGATACGAATAATGTCACCACGGTTCTCAAGCTCCCTTGAAAGCTTGGTCTCTTTTTCATAAATTAATCTCATTTCTTTGCCTTCTGAATTTCTATTTATGGGTCCTACATATTGAGATCACCTTATTAAAACCCTAATTTGTATATTTTAATCACTCTCCAATGATCCTATCCTATATATCTTTACTGCTTTGATTGTCCCATGATTACATTTACACCACAAACACACCAGAAAAATTGAAGTTAGAGTTGGTTTGTTCTCTTTGCACATGTTGTTTGCTCTTTGATAACCAAAGTAGACTATTTAGAGAGACAGATACATTAACAATCATCATAGTTAATATTGTAAATTAAATATATGCACGTAAGTGCTTAAACGCTAACTAGTTAGTAAATTACTATGATTCTAGTCACTCGCTCGCTGCGACTGCATTCTTTCCCACCCTCCTCGTTATGTTGAGTTGGGGAATATGGTGAGCAAGGAACTCAAGGCTTTGCAATAACAAGCTTGAAGCCCCGAACATCCTTGTCTCTCCTTGTCTCTCGTGTTATGTCTCTGGCATGAGTTTGTTTGTACCAACTCAAGCCCCCCTAAGCCCAGACCTTCTAACCCGGAAGAGTTCAAATGGAAAAGACCACCTTTGGGGCGGCTCAAGGTGAACATTGACGGTGCTTGCCTGCTTGGAACAAGGATCTCAAGATTAAAGGTGTTGGAATTGTGGTGCTGGTGGGTGACTACCATGGAAATTTTGTTACAGGGGCTGTGAGAAACTTCAGCTTGTTCCATCCCCTCTTCACGCGGAGGCTTTAGCTTTTAGGGAAGGCTTGGTTTTGGTGTTGATAAAGGGTTTCTACAATGTTATTTTCGAGAGCGACTCGCTTCAGATCATTTCGGCATTGAAAGGAAGTGATATATGCTTGTGATTTTATGTGGTTCAATGGACTAATTGAGAGTATCTACATAAGGTGCCAACTTCTAAATCATTCACTAATAGTTTGACATATCTGTAGAAGATGTTTTGAGTCTTGAAAGTTAAAGATTAAAATGGAAAAATTTGTGGATTTTGGACAAGTTCCTCCTACCCTTCCCATTTGCCTTTTATCTATCTACATTTTCCTATCCTCACTTGATACATGTAATCAACTAATAAATTAAACTACATAATTCATGCTTTTAAGGTCAAATATTCTAGTGAATAGAGTGTTGAGTCTTCACTCATGCGTTAAGTTCGAAACTCTATATATTTTAAATTATTGTAATAGTTCGAACCCTCCCCTCCTTTTAATTATAAAAAATTATAAAAAATTGAAAAATTAGAATTTATGAATTTAATGCATTAATTATGTAGTTTAATTTGAATAGAACACACGTATCAAGTGATGACAGAGAAAAATAAATAGAAAAAGGCAAATGTAGAAGTTAGATAATATTCTTCAATTATAAATTCCAACTCCAAGTACCGCTCATATTCGATTCTGCTTGTCCCAAGTGACAAAATCTCAAAGGAACTTTACACTAGTTGAAGAAAGTGTACATCAAGTTGTTCATAAAGGTTGGACTGTTGGCGAGTGGCAGGCAGGCCTTGTTTATACCAAACCATCACAGTGAATGTCTAAATATGGCCCAATTGTACCTCCAACGTGAGCCAGAAAATGAAAATTTTCCCTTTTGTGAATTTAGGTTGAATAGAAACGCGTTTTCAGCTGTTAGATCGAGTTTAGGCATGGTAAACATGCCATGTGTTGTTATTAGGTTGATCATGCATAGTTGTTATTTGGCATGGTAAACATGCCATGTGTTGTTTGTTCGTGTTGTTTTCATGTCATACAAATTATTTTTACGAGTTTTTAATATGTGATAGGATAACGACCCAAGTCGCTAACGAGTCTTACAAGTAATTGTTATACCTAATGTCTAGATCTGAAAAACGATATCTTATTGAATTCTTAAGAGGTGATCCGATAATGATCCGACCTATTAACAGATTAACTCGAAATATGTTTTTTTCGAGTCAGATTAACGAGATCGTACAATGAATTGCTCTCATCCCATGTCTAAAATACACATTGACCTTTTTTTATACAAACAATAGTGAAGGAGGAAGAAATCGAACTTAAAACCTTAAGTGCAAGATGAATATTCATAACCACTTAAGGTACAAGCTTCTTGTCGGTATTGTCGTTTTTATTTTTTTGGAACAAATAATATTATTTACACTAAAAGGAGTTAGGAAGTTGGGTAAGCCTCACAATGAACTAGTAATAATGTGTATCAAATTCGTCTTTAGCAAGAATTAAACTTAAGACCTCTCACTTATAAATAAAGAAGAATACTGCTAGATCATAATATAAGCTTTTTGTCGTATCCCATTTTAGAGTCAATAAGATAATCAGATAATTAGTGGGAGTTAGGGGCTAATTACGTAAATGCAAACCTTTAAACAAAATTACCAACAAGAGCAACAGAAAGCCGAACCTTTCAGACAAACAGATCAGATGGCCAGCGGTGGTGTGCGGTGCGGGTGGGCCCACCCCTCGTGCAAGTGGCCATTATTTATTCCTCCCTTTATCATTTTTATCCCGTTAATTAATAATTAGCCGAATTAATTTTCCTAATTAAAATTTTCTTAACTAGGTTTTCATCGCTTTAAAATCGCAATTCCGATAACACTTTAGGGTTTTCAATGCCCTTCGAATTTATCGTCCCCCTGCGTCTTCTTCTGGGCTTCTTCAGGCAGTTATTCTAACGGTAAGTTTCCCAATTCCCCAAAATCCCAAATTTAGAATTCGTCGTTTCGTATTGGTAATTTTCTGAATTTCGGTTATACGGAATTTAATTGCTTAACCATTTGATTCTCTGAATCTGTTTAATTCTTCGTTTATTTAAGTGTGTTTAGATTCATGATCGAAATTTAATTTCAATTTTTTGTATTTGCTAGATTTTGGGACATGGGTTGGAATTGTAGTTGTTGTTCTTGATCTGATTGAAGGGGTGAGGGAAGAACCTAACTTTTTCTATGTTATGGATTTGGAAAATGAATCTGTGGAAGATATTGTAGTAAACCCACGAACAGTTTCCAATTCTGCTGCTGCTGATGGCGATGGCGACAGTAGTAGTTCGATTAGGAACAATGGGTCATGTGGTAGTGAGATTGGAAATGCAGGAGAGAGTAGAGATAATGATGGTGGCACTGAACAATTAGTGAATTCGAGTCCGCTGGCAGCCAAATCTCCCGGTGGGGGGTCACCTCCAACCGTCAAAGGGCGCGGCTTAAGGAAGTGGAGAAGAATTAAGAGAAATTTTGCCAAGGGTGATAAGGACAATGCAGTTGATGATTCTAGTAAAGTTTTGAAGCGGGGTTTGTCCGGTAATGGAAGCCCAGTTAAGTCGAAGAATTCACCCATTGAGATCAGACATAATACTAGGGAAGGTTCTGTTGGATCCGTGAATATGTTAAGAAATGTGGGAGTTGTCGATGGCTTTGCCATTCCTGGTTCAAGTTCGGATTCTAGATTTTCTGTTGGTACTGCATTTGCTGCTGGTGCAGATTCTGAGAACAGTGAGGATCGGAGTAGCAAGTCTTCGACCGCTGCCAGTGTTCCAAAGCCCAAGTTTGAGCTGCCTGCAGCATTTGTGCATGCGCGGGATAAGAGCAAGATGAAGAGTACTAGCGGGAAGAGTGTGAGTAATTCAGCTCAAAGGGCTCAACAGGGAAAGACACAAGTCGAAAGTAGTAAGAAGCATAGAGGAGACAGGGGCACAATCGAGATGGAAAACTCTTATTCAAGCATGGAATCTGACTCAAGAAGCTCCAACTTTGTCTTTATGCAGAGTCCGATTTTGACTAGTAATGGGAAGCAAAGTGGAAGGTCAATGAGTCATGATGGAGAAAACAGTGATGAAGTTCATGCAAGTGAACCACATCCAACAGACTTGCCGTGGATGGCTAATGGAGGAACAAATAAGAATCATAGGTCCTTGACAGATCAAGATCCACTGGTCGAGTCTATCCTTAATCTCCATTCTGTACAAGAAGCACTTGCTAAAGGTTAGACTGCCTAAAACCCTCAAATTTGAAAAATTACAAAATAAAGTTATAGTGTTATTGTTTTGCATTAAAACCATAGAAAGACTATTAAAACCATATAAAGATTATTTTGGAAACCCTGATCTCGTAAAACTGTGTTCTGTGCTAAACACGTCAATTTCTTTTTCTGTAAAAGTGCAAGTCTCCATCGTTATTACCCATCGACCATTGTTGGATCCAAGTGGTATAGAGGGCATAGATTTAGGAGTTCTGCAAGCAAATCTTTTGGTCATTTTTAGAGTAGTCTGAAGGACCTCTTGACTAGAGTAGTCTGCAGACAGTGTAATCAATGGGTGGGAGAGTCTCCATGACAGCCATATGTTAATCTTCTTTTAAGGTTATACTTTTACTCATGGAAGTTTATTCAATTTTCCGCGTGTTTAGGGAATCTTCGTAAAAAGGGTTTTTGAAATACCTCTCATCTTATGTACCTCATGCATATTATATTTGGTGAATATTTCTGGTTGACACATAAGCATTTTGAGGAGCTTGACTTAACTTATTTATATCACCATTGAAGTTATTGTTTCGCATTCTTTTTTATTCTCCGAAGTGGCGGTGTAATGGCACCTACTGTCTCTTTCCTCTTCTATGACGAAGGCTTAGTTCAAGGAAACTAGTATTGTCCCATATCTTGTCTCGTGTTCCATCCATCTTGGTTATTGCATACTTTATATAAATCTAAAAAAGTCAAAACCTGAATAAGGTATACCTCCAGGATATGCGCTTTCTCGGGGTCTGCATATTGATACTTTGATTAATGGATCATGCTTTGCTTTTCAATGCAGTTTCCGTTGATTTCTTTTCTTAACTTATTGCTGTCTGTGTTTCTTATTAGCGATGGTTTGTTTCCTGCTGAAGCTACTTGTAACTGCTTTGTCTGAAATATGAATTTTGGTTGTGTTTTCCTTTTTTGGGATTTCTGCTATATTGTTATGGCTTCTTTTAGGACATTAAATGAATGGAGTCTTGTGTGCACATGCAGAGGTTCAGAAATTTGGGGAGATTGGGAAGGAAATTTTGTCAACGGATTCTAATGGTGGTGGTATACCTGCCGATATCTATTCAAGTGATCTGGGAATTAATGAATCTAACTTATCTGACTATTTGGGTTCTGATAAGATTGGACAAACTTCTTCGAATTCCTTGGAATCTCAGGTCTTGAGTTTGAAACAAAATGTGAAGCTTTTGGAAAGCACACTGGATGAGACAAGAGCTATACTGGAATTGAAGGAATCCAGGGTTGCTGAACTCGAAGATATGATTAACATTAGCAAGTCTGCAAAAGAAGATTCAGGTAGTACCGTAGGTCTAGAGGAGGAAAAAAGTCGAGAGCTAGAAACTGAACTTGACGGTGTGTTTAGGCAAATGATTGAAGCCCAGGTCGAGTTTATTGCTATTAAAAGTTCCACACAGAGGTTGAAGTTTGCTGCAGGTGGCCAAATCGCACTGCTTGATGAGCAAGAAGCAGTAGTTGGAGAACAAGAACAGATGCTGAACAAGCTTGGGGAAGTAGAAATTAGGGCCACAAAGCTAAAGGAACGAACAGAGGAGTTGGGAAAATTATCCGGAGATATTTTAGAGACCGAAGAGGTCTTCACCATCCAGAAGAGATTTTGTAAGATTACTTCATGTCTTTTTATTCAGTTGATATTGCTGGGCTTGGCGATCTTGGTTTTTTTCTCGCAGTCGTCCCATCAAGGGGTGGCAGTACCCACCTGAGTCCGGGAGTAGCAACGCCATTTTGTTTTTGTGTATTCTCAACCTCCTTAGGCAAATATTGGAAGCTTAAGTTTGATCTTTTGTCATGTAGAACCTTTTTTTTTTCTCTCTGTTTTCGTTTTTTTGTAACATTGTTGTAATTTTTGCTTTCATAGGAACAGAAGCATCTCAAAATGATTGCTCATAGCGTACTATACTTTTCCATGACTGTAATTTTTGCGTGTTCGATTTGGTTTGGCGGATAGTTTTATGAGTCGAAACTTAAGGACATCGAGTCACTTGTAATGGATGTACCTTGACGATGTTTAAGACGTAATTAAGGTTTTCTCGCACATAGCTTGCAGGTCTCATGTGTTTGCACAAGCATGTGTGGTTTTATAGCTGTGCAGAACGATCTACTGTCGAAAATTGCTTGCATATCAAACGATCCAGTTGTTTGTAGACTCATTAGTTTTTGTTTTGGTACAGGTAAAATCCATAAAAAAATATAAGGTGGCTGAATCGAAGGAGAAACCCACTAACCCAGAGCCATCTCTCGCTCATCCTTATTTAATTTTGTCTCTTGTATCCGTTTTTATAACTAATAAATTGGACACCAAGATAAAGAAGGGTTAGTGAATCACGACAAGTGGTTTAATGGAAAAGTGCGAACAATAGTTTCTTAAAGGAAAGATCTAACGGAAGATTCTGGATTCGAGACTTTATATACTAACTTGATGGTGCCCACGAATAGGATGTAATTCCAAACTAACTTCCTTTGGGCCCAAAAAATATGGATACTTGTGGTTCGACACTAGTTATCTCATTTAAAAAAAAAAAAAAAAAAAAAAACAGATGAAAGAGTTTAGTGACAATTTTATATCTCCTCACTATTAGTGACAATTTTGAATCCACCAAAAATGCGTAATTACATTCTCACTATTATTTTCAATACAAGCATTAGTGGAGAAAAGAGAATTGAACTAAGGATCTTAGAAATGTGCATGCTCCCCGCAGGATTAGCAAACCAAGCTAGGCAAAGGCAAATGTGGGGTCTCCTTTTGCTTGCATCATTGGGCTCCACCATGGACACCGACTAACGATTCTCCAACTGACACTGGTAGTTGCTGACTAAGATACCATTTACAATTCCTCGACCATCTCACTGGATTCTACATAGAAATTCAAAGTCATGGCAAAGACTTTCTTAGGTTTACTAACCAGCGAAAATTATGTGCTTTTGTGTACATGATACACATGGTCGTCAAATTTTGTTCATCGAATTTTTGACTAAAAATTTAACAGTAAAAAGCTTTATACACTGAAGTATATTAGAAATTTCTTGTTGCTCATAGGTAAATTGAAATTGAAAGAGAAGTAACAGTGATATATAACGCATGTGACAGGTAGTTCCTTGATTAGATTTAGAAGTTTTTAAGGACACAAATTCCGTAGTTGGTCTCCATTGTATTGTACTCGCCCTGAGTCTAGTTAGGGCATAATTTATCGACCATGGCCGCGTCAAATCCAGTGCTACTATTAAGCATCAATTACCTTTGTACCATATTGAGAGGATGGAGCATTAATGGGTCTTTTATTATTAAGAAAAAATGATTAACTTTGAACTCCTTTAAAAAATGGTGTCGTTTGCTGAAAAAATATAGTTTTTTCTTTTAGTGATCTTGAACGAGAATCAAGTGATAGAGTTGCACTAGAGAGATGTTGATGTTTAACTTTTGTTAAACTCTTTTGTTTCAACGCAAACAAACCAAGAGAGTACACGTGCCCCTCCTGGCCCTTCATCAAATTCGCCCCTGATGTGCATGAAACAGAATTTTAGCATTAAACAGATTAACTTGTAATTAACAATTAATCCAGAGTTAATGCAATAAGCATATGTGTATGAGTGTATCCTAGTACCAAGGCCATAAAGGCACGAAAGCGTATGGGACAATGGTAGGGTACTGCATGTTTGGCAGTTAAGAAAATGGCATGAGAAAGGTGCCAATGGATATAAAAGTAAAAAATGATTGTCTAGAAAGTTTGAGGTCACGAGAAATTGCCAAGAAAACGGTTGAATCATATCCCTTCTATTTTCTTCTATGCCAAATGCAAAGCATCGATCATTCAATGCAAATGCATTATGAGTACCACACACAAGTAACTAACTATGAAATTTACCATTTTTTTGCGAGACAAATGTTTATATGTTTTACAATGAATCTAGACGATTAAATTTGACTAAAGTCAGTCCAATCAATGATTTAAATTTACAGTATGTGAACATTTTGTAGCATCATATTTTGCGGGAATGGTTGGCGAGAGAATTTTCAGGGGCGTGATGACATAAAACTTAGGAAATATATACAATGCTATTGTGAAAAATAAAAGTTACCACAAACTACTTTCGTGCACAACACAACCAATATACCAATACCTTTGCAAACTAAATAATGTTATTCTCACACTAATTTTTTCCTTCCATAGTACTCTTGTTAATATTTTACCTTTGATCTTTTTCAATTCATTTGACCCGACGATTAAAAATTGATAAAGGTATTTAAGAAGCAAAAATGAGTGTAAATAGCACCACCCTAGCTGAATCTGGACACTTGACTTAATCTGTTGTCTTATTCTTTTGCTAACCTGGTCACAAGGTGAGAAGAGATGGTAAAAGCTTAAGCTGGAGAGGAATTAAGAATTGTGTGTTTAAAATAACCAATGTTTAAACACCTTTGATGATTTTGCAATTAAATTAGATGATTTGGAAAAAAATCTACATCTCTATCAGTAGTTCAGTACACACGTTTTCAAAACAGACCCCACAAGAAGTTTAGATAGCACCACCCAGAAAAAAAAGTTTGATTCTTGCAAATTGGGTTGATGGAGAAAAGCTCCTACGGGTAGAGAAGTCTCTTGACATTTTTTTTTTCAGAAAAAATGTCTCCTTTGTTTTGTGGCCTCCACTACATACTTAGTGTTATATGTTATTAGCATCACATCACCAATAAACAAATCATAATCAATTGCAAACATGTACACATAATAAGAAACTTAAGAAAGGAATTGAATTTGACAATAAGCTGGTAAATTTTCTATAAAAATTAGAAAAAATTAGATGTAATATGTTTGAGAGATTCAATACTTTTAAAATAATTATATGCAAGGAAAGATTTCAAATCCATTTGTTTTTACCTTGATCTTCTATTTTAAATCTTGGCAATATATGTCATGTAATAGTCTAAATAAACAATCTAACCGTATAATAATATCATGTAAATCCCGTAAATTTGATATCACTATGGGGAAAAGAGCACTTACATTTGAGATTTGAGTACCAAAAGGCTTTTGAAACTTAAAACTTAAGGAATCAAACAATTTAACTCTAACAAGAAAATTAATGAAAGAGAAAGTAGGGAAACTAATTTAACCAAAAAGAAACACTGTATATATGCACAAGTCCTGCAGATTCTTTACATCATCTTCCTCCCCAAAGTAAAAACACTAGCTATAGGACCATTTGGAAATTGGAAGTCTCCTTCCACTAAAGCAAAATCCTTGAGAGGACCATATCATCATGCTTTTACATGAAAAGAATTGACCCAAAATGACAATGGCAATGGACCCCACTTTGATCAAACTGGAAAGAGCAGTAGGGTTTCTAAGACTAAAAAACAAAATCTAACTGAACTATCAGATAGCCAGAGACTGAGAGAAGAAGAAAAAAAACCCTCAGCTTCTTCAGCTGGCTGGCTAATTAGAAACTGAATTGTAAGAAGAAGGTGCACATCCAGCTGCCGCAGCCCCACCATACTGATAACCTACACCCTCACCTTGCTGGTCATCCTCCTCCATTGGTGGAAGCTCGTTTAGGTCAAAGTCCAAAACTCTTCTCCCACCACCAACACCTGCAATATTCTGACTGGACTGAGCTTGCAGCTGCTGCTGTAGCTGCTCAGGGGGACCCTCCACCACCTGCTGCTGGTGCTGCTCAGTGGGGCCATTCCAGTGGCTCCTCTTGTGACCCCCCAAAGCCTGACCTGTTGGGAAGGTCTTGTTGCAGATTTTGCACTGGTGGTGCTGCTGATGATCTAGTGCTACTCTTTCTGCTTCATCATCATGCACCCTATCTTCACCGACCGACACGTCAGCGGGTGCAGACTGGTCCTCCATTGATGGGTGGGCCACCGCGATCCCCTTGAGCTTGTTGTGGCTTGACATGTGTCCTCCCAGAGCTTGGTGGCTAGGAAAACACTTCACACAGAGATTGCACTTGTACCTCAGCCTTCCTTCCAAGTCCACCAACTTCATCTTCCTCCTGTTCCTCCTCATCACCGCAATGCTCTCAGAATTCTGACTGTCTGACAATTCATCCTCCATATTATTATGATTTCCTATATTTTCCTCCTCCATCAATCCAAGCTTCAAGAAATTCTTCACCGTTGACTTTTCTTGACCAAAACCCCCACCATATTCATCATACCATTTTTTCTCACTCCTCTCCACCTCAGATGGTGATCCCTTCCTCTTGTTTGTGGATCCCACGGTGGCGGTTGCAGTGTACCCATGGCATGGAAGTCCTCGCTCTCCGTCCTGATTGGCAGTGATCAAGAAATTGCTGTTGGTGGCCTCACACATGGTGTCATCAGCTCCTCCTCCTTCCAATGGATTGGCCTGAGCTAGCAACAAAAGATCATGGACAGCTTCCTTCATCTGCTCTTCATCTTCTTCAACAGTCCTGGGACTTCTCGAATCCAAACCGGAGACGGACTGGTCAGAGTTGGACTCTAGTCCAGTGCTGCCGCTCTTCCTCCCTCTCCTTGCGGTTTGAGACCATTTAGGCAGAGTCTTGGAGAGATCAAGAGCCGAACTTTTTGACGCGAAAAACATCTCATCAGAGTCAATCTGACCATCCTGATCTTTCTTCTCACTCTGATCAGGCACAGCATCTGACAGAGTGGAGGAAGAGCTGTTTTTGGCGGCCGGAGGCGGCTGAATTCCCCTCCATTCTCTCTCTGGATGCGACCTCATATGCCCAAAAAGTGACTTCATCGACGGAAAATTCTTGCCGCAAACGCAACAAACAGGCTTCACATCGCTGATGCTATTGCTATTACCTCCAATCCCAACAACACCACCGGCATTCGAGCTTCCAACATCGGAATTATTAGGTTTCGAAATCTTGGGTTTTGATGAAATCATGTTCTTGCGAGACTGATTACAATTCCCTGTCAGCTTGAATATGTATTCTCATGTGGCCTCCGAGAGCCTTACCTGAGCTGAAACCCTTGCCGCAGACCTCGCAGAATCTGGTGAATTGAGGCCGCGGAGTAGCGGAGGAGTTTTGCGGGTTTTGG